CATTGCATTTGCCCGTCACCCAATCAGGTGCCTTTGAAAACGCTGCCATGTGTTACAGTTCTATATTCCTTTCCGGGTTCGTGGGTCGATCATGTTTTGGTTTGCGCGTACGTCGCAACTGTATCGCCTTTGCTTGAGCTTGTGAACTTCTGTATGAAGTAGTTGGTAGCGATTTCATCGTTCTCCAACAACAGCCATATGCACACGATCCCGCGATGCTGAGTTTTTGGCAACTTTGGAGGTGAAGGAGTCGCGGAATTTTGAAGCCACAGCGGAAGGCTCCTGTCTAGTATGTGCGACGCTGTAGTTCATCTGTCGAAAGACTATCAGCTTTCGAAATCGTCCACGCACCTTGCCACGCTGCTTTTGAAACCGCCGCAACATATGTTTTTAGGCACTCGCTTTGCTGATCTAGCTTTCAACGCAACCGAGGAAGTCAACTTGATCAAGTTCTTGGAGCCGCCACTCGTGGACACCGTCAATTTCCACGTGTCGCTGAGAGACTCATGGGGAATGCCGGTAAAGTTTCAGCTGTTCCACGCACAGGGCTCGGACATGCATGATGAGGTAACCCGTGTCGTGGGTGTGGTGTGAAGGAGAACTCCGATGTGCCTCGGGATCCACCTGCAGGCATATTGCGTGAAATCCCTAGGGAACGGCCTCGCGGGACTTGCGAGACCATTTCGGAGGATGGGATTAGCCTTTCAGATCGATCTTCTTCTGCTTTGAGGTTCGACATCTCAAACTCAGGAATCTGTGTTTACATCGACCCGGGCGGACCTGGCTTGCCTGTATTGCAGCGCATCACGCAAGCCAATCATCGGCCCAGAACACGAGAGTGCACCGTTTTTCCCGGAAAGGGCTCAGGCCCAGGGTTCTCTTTTAGTTTTGTTTCCTTCCAGTTTTGACGGCTGTAGGGCCGGCGAATTTCTGTTGCGATAAATATCGAGGTCGCGTAGGGCCGGCGAATTAAAAATTGAAGATGTCCCTAGCGAAACGCTGGTTTTTGAAATCGCGGTCGATAAGTCACAGGGTGCGGGACACGCTTTGGTCAGGGGAACGGATTACGTCTGTTCCTACATATTGGCCCTTCCATTACCTATAGATTGGCACCTTCCAGGGGCACGAATACGTGTGTTTTACATATGTTCCTGTAGATTGGCCCTCTCCAGGATTCTGTGTGTTCCTATGCATTGGCCCTCTCCATGGGCACGAAACCGTGTGTGTTCTATGTATGTTCCTATAGATGGGCCCTCTCATTACCTTTAGATTGGCCCCCTCTAGGGGCACGATACGTGTGTTTTTACGTCTATTCCTATAGATTGGCCCTCTCCAGGGACACGAATACGAGTGTTATGTATGTTCCTATATATGGGCCCTCTCATTACCTATATATTGTCCCCCTCCAGGGGAACGAATACGTGTGTTTCTCCCGGCAAGAGCGCAGGCCCAGGGCATTCTTTATTAGGAAATTTCCCCGGTGCCAACTTCTGTAGGGCCAGCGAATTTCAGCTCGATAAAAAACAAGGTAAAGTCCAATTCGGCGTGAAACATGCGTTTCGCTCGTGCCCGCTCGAGGAAAGTCGACCCCCCACCTTGGATCCTCGATAAATAACGGGGTCCGCGGACCCCCGTTTTCTTCGATAGAAAACCGAGGTGAAGTGCAACGCGGCGCGGAAAGTGCGTTTCGTGCGTGACCATTCGAAACAAGTCGAAAATTAGCCTGGCGAAGAACCCAACCATATGCAGTTGTCAGTACCGCAGCTGCGGGTTTCATCTTCAAAGGAACCCCCCATAGTATTACGGAACATGTGAGGGGTGTGCCGAGATGGGTGCCATTGGGGCATTCGGAGAAGCTCCCTATGGGGACATGAAACACGTGCGGGGCGTGCCGACATGGGTGGCGGAAACGCATGTGAGGGCCGCCACTGGGGCCTCCAGTGGAGCTCCCTATGGGTCCCCGAAACATGATGCTGCTGCAGGGGGGGTGCCGGGATGGGTGGCGGAGACGCATGTAAGCGCCGCTACTGGGGCCTTCGGTGGAGCTCCCTATGGAGCCACGAAGCGCGTGAGGGGTGTACTGGGATGCGTGGCGGGGACGCATGTGAGCGCCGCCACTGGGGCCTTCGGTGCAGCTCCCTACGGGGCCACGAAACGTGTGAGGGGTGTGCCGAATTGGGTGCGGGTGGTGACGCATGCGGGCGGTGCCACTGGGGCCTTCGGTGGAGCTCCCTTATGGGGCCACGAAACCTGTTGTTGTGAGGGGCGTGCCGGGATGGGTGGCGGGGACGCATGTGAGCGCGGCCGCTGGGGCCTTCGGTGGAGCTCCCTATGGGGCCACGAAGCGTGTGAGGGGTGTGCCGCCTTCGGTGGAGCTCCCTATGGGGCCACGAAACGAAGACGCATGCGGGCGGCAGCACTGGGGCCTTCGGCGGAGCTCCCTATGGGGCCACGAAACGTGTGAGGGGTGTGCCGAATTGGGTGTGCGTGACGCATGCGGGCGGCAGCACTGGGGCCTTCGGCGGAGCTCCCTATGGGGCCACGAAACGTGTGAGGGGTGTGCCGAATTGGGTGTGCGTGACGCATGCGGGCGGCAGCACTGGGGCCTTCGGCGGAGCTCCCTATGGGGCCACGAAACGTGTGAGGGGTGTGCCGAATTGGGTGTGCGTGACGCATGCGGGCGGCAGCACTGGGGCCTTCGGCGGAGCTCCCTATGGGGCCACGAAACGTGTGAGGGGTGTGCCGAATTGGGTGTGCGTGACGCATGCGGGCGGCAGCACTGGGGCCTTCGGCGGAGCTCCCTATGGGGCCACGAAACGTGTGAGGGGTGTGCCGAATTGGGTGTGCGGGACGCATGCGGGCGGCAGCACTGGGGCCTTCGGCGGAGCTCCCTATGGGGCCACGAAACGTGTGAGGGGTGTGCCGAATTGGGTGTGCGTGACGCATGCGGGCGGCAGCACTGGGGCCTTCGGCGGAGCTCCTATGGGGCCACGAAACGTGTGAGGGGTGTGCCGAATTGGGTGTGCGTGACGCATGCGGGCGGCAGCACTGGGGCCTTCGGCGGAGCTCCCTATGGGGCCACGAAACGTGTGAGGGGTGTGCCGAATTGGGTGTGCGTGATCGGGCGGCAGCCTTCCCTATGGGGCCACGAAACGTGTGAGGGGTGTGCGAACGGGTGTGCGTGACGCATGCGGGCGGCAGCACTGGGGCCTTCGGCGGAGCTCCCTATGGGGCCACGAAACGTGTGAGGGGTGTGAATTGGGTGTGCGTGACGCATGCGGGCGGCAGCACTGGGCCTTCGGTGGAGCTCCCTATGGGGCCACGAACGTGTGAGGGGTGTGCCGAATTGGGTGTGCGTGACGCATGCGGGCGGCAGCACTGGGGCCTTCGGTGGAGCTCCCTATGGGGCCACGAAACGTGTGAGGGGTGTGCCGAATTGGGTGTGCGGGACGGTGGAGCATGCGGTGCGGCACGCACTGGGGCCTTCGGTGGAGCTCCCTATGGGGCCACGAAGCGTGTGAGGGCTGTGCCGAATTGGGTGTGCGTGACGCATGCGGGCGGCAGCAAGGAGGAGGGGGAGGAGGCGTGAGTGAGGGACGCGGCGCGCTGTCTCTTCAAAACGAAGACCCAACACCACAGGATGGTCGGGAAAAATTTACCCCCCATCTCGGATCCTCGATAAATAACGGGGTCCGCGGACCCCCGTTCATTTCGATAAAAAACTAAGTGAAGTCCAACGCGGCGCGGAAAATGTGAAAATGTTGAATTTTTGTGTGCCCGTTCGAGGATGGTGCGCCCCCCGCGCCAAAACATAGAGGATGTCTCGAGCGAAACGCTTGTTTTGCAAAACTTGATGGACCTGGGCGCCGCAGCATGCCCCAGGAGGCCCTGGGAGCGCAAATCCGATGTGTTTTTGGACCCTGACCCCGCCGATCTGCGTGAGGGGTGCCAATTTTTACCAACCCCAGCAATTCAGAGCACACGCTCAGGGCGTGCTCAACCTGCCCGTTTGGGCCTCCCCCTCCTCGCGCGGTCCATCAACAAGGAACAGTAAGCAGCAAGAAGCAGAACTGTAACAGTGGAAACTGGAAGCTGCAACTGGTATAGGAAACTGCGAAGCTTCGGCCTACAGCCTGGTGGCCCCACAAGGGGGCCGGCGGATTCTTGAACCGAGTACGATTTTCTTTCGCCTCCACAGGGGCTCGGAGGGCTCGACTCTCGCCCCTCGTTCCTCTCGATGATCCTCAGGACTTGTGCTGGCCCGACGTGTGTGTGTGTGTGTGTGTGTGTGTGTGTGTGTGTGTTGTCCCTGACTGCTCCGCAGCCAGCACGCAGCCTGCGTCGGCCGCGATGCTGCCGCCTGCGTCGGGGCGAGGGGGCCTCGGAGGAGAGGCGCACCGCTGGCGCCGACGCGTGGCCTGAGGATCGTCGATCCTCGCTCGACCCCTGGCCCTCGACATCCTCGAGCCTCGCCCCTCGCTCCCCTCGATGACCTCCTCCTCCTCCTCCTCCTCCTCCTCCTCCTCCTCCCTCCTCCTCTCCCTCCTCCTCCTCCTCCTCCTCCTCCTCCTCCTCCTCCCTCCTCCTCCTCCTCCTCCTCCTCCTCCTCCTCCTCCTCCTCCTCCTCCTCCTCCTCCCTCCTCCTCCCTCCTCCTCCCTCCTCCTCCTCCTCCTCCTCCTCCTCCTCCTCCTCCTCCAGAACGTGTGTCGCGCCAGCGTGCGCCCGTCCTCCGAAGCACCTCGCTCCGGCGCGGGCGGCATGATCGCGGCCGACACGGGCCGCGTGCCGTCGGCGGAGCAGAACGGGACACCAACACACGCTCACACACATTGGGCTAAACACACGTCCTGAGGATCATCGGAGAGGATCGAGGAGGCCCCTCGGGAGGATCGATCGAGGATGCCGAGGAGAAGGGATCGAGCGAGGGTCGAGCGGCGAGGATCGAGGATGTCGAGGATCGAGGCAGGCTCGATCCTCGTTGCCCCTGCCGTCCGGGAAGGCCCACAGGACAGCGGCGTGCGCAACACGCTCGTTGCCATGGCCGAGGCCTCCGCAGGCCGCCCTCGGGCGGGGGGGGGGGGGGGATGCGCGGCCTTTTCTCCAGTCGGGGGAGTTGGAAGAGGACGCGGAGGGGGAGGACGAGGAGGGGCAGGATGAGGAGGGGGGGAGGAGGACGAGGATGGGGGAGGACGTGGAGGGGGGGAGGAGGCCGAGAAGGGGGAGGAGGACGAGGGGGAGAAGGACGAGGAGGAGGACGCGGAGGGGGGGGAGGACGAGAAGAGGGAGGAGGGAGGCGTGGCAGAAGGAGCTTAAGCAAGAGCAAGCCAGGAGGAGCGGCTCACGAGACATCCACAGTCAGTTCTGAACACCGCATGCGCATCCCTCAGAACACAGCCAGCGCTCCGAAGCAGTGGTCCACCTGGGCTATTTCGCGCTCGCATGTTGACATATCGTTCCTTCATGCTCGTCGAGCTCGGTTGGCACACAACGTCGCTTTCGTGTGGTCGCTTGGCAGCGGTTTCTCGCGCGTGGTCAGAGACACGCTGCCAGGCCGCCTATTGGAGTTCCAGGCTCAGGAGCTCTCGATGGTGGCGTGGTCGTATGCGAAGCTCTACGAGTTCAAGAAGGGAGAAGTGATAGGGATACAACTGATACCTTGTCCTCCAGCCTGCCCTTCCATATCGAGGGACTACGTGAAGCATTGGCCTGCCTCACACAGCCGACCTTTTGTGGTTCTCAGGCACTCCCATCAGATGTTCGTGACTCCTTGACGTTTCGCGTACTTCCCATCAGCCCATCCATCAACGGTACCAGGGCGAGTTCTATTGATCAGGGCAGTGTTGGAGCATGCCGTGGAACGAAAAAGAGGCGGGTAGCCGTCAGGGCAGCTAGTGTGATCGCCATGAGCAGGTCCAGGAGTCAGCCACGCCTTCGCGGACGCGTTCGATCTGGGATCCTGTCGGCAGCTCGCTTGGGCCATCTTGGGGCCCTTGTCTTGGCATCGCTCGGACTTGTGCATTTTTCCTCGACGGGGACCATCGAGGAGCATCCTAGATCATCCAGCAACAGAAAAACGCACGACACCAACCAATGCACGGGGAACGTCCGAGCGATGGCAAGTTGTGGTTGGTAAAGCCCCTGGTCAGCCTCTGCCGCGCATCGCTGCGGAGTGCACGGGTTTCTCGAGAGGTGTTGCGGCCGCCCTTGTTCCTCTTCCTTCCTCTTCCAAAAGCATATATCAGGGCCCTTATGGGTGTCGCTTCGATGCTGATGATGATGATGATGCCGATGATGATGATGATGATGATGCTGCTGATGATGATGATGATGATGATGATGATGATGATGATGATGATGATGATGATGATGATGATGCTGCTGATGGTGATGGTGATTATGTTGATGCTGCTGGTGATGCTGGTGATGGTGATGAGGTGCTGATGATGATCAGAATGCTGATGACGAGGATGATGAGGCGGATGCTGATGATGATGCTGATGATAAACGGCTCGAGCCGTTGCAGGAAACGCGTTTCTTTTCTCTCCAGACGGCCGCCCCCAGCCCCCAGCCGCCGCGGAGTTCGGCTGGTGCCGCCATTCCTCCTCCCCGTGCTGAACCAGCGTGGCACAGACGTGCCCGCCACAAGCGCCAGCAGGCGCGCAGGATCATCACAGTAGCGTTCGCGGAGTTAGAACGCCACCACCGCGGGCAGCAGGGGAGGTTGCCGCACTTCGCCATGGGCCAAGGGTGTAAGGGCAAGACGGGCAAGAAGGGCGACAACAAGGGCGCCACGAATGCCAGTCGATGAGTTGGAGGCGAACAAAAGGGCCGCTCCACAGGACCCCCAACCTAGGCATGGTCGTGCGGCACGTGCACAGCATCGGTGAACTTGTCGAAGGAGTGGTGCTGGCAGTGTGGTCAGCACTGGCAGACACCAAAGAAGCCTGCGGCCCACACGATCGGAGGGCCAGAAGGCGCAGGGTAGCGAAGCAACGGGATCGAAGGGCACGGACTACGGAGGCGCCATCATGAAAATCCAGGTGGCGTTCGACGCCGCGGAGAAGGCTGGCAAGATTGACGCGTCCCAGTTGCAGGCAGTTCTCGAGGCAGTCCGTGCCCAGAGATTCAGAGAAGACCCCAATGCAGATGGCCCAGTCGATGACGCAGAAGCTGGGCCAGAAGCAGAAGGCGCTCGAGAACCGCAAGGTCGCACTCGAGCAGCTGATAAACGAAGCGATGGTGGCAGAGCAGTTGTACAAACTCAAGCAGGAGAAGGTGCGACAGAGAGAGAGAGAGAGAGAGACAATGATCAAGCAGTGCCTAGACGAGATCGCCAATATCGAAGCATACCAGAAGCAATGGGACTTGAAGGCGAGGGGCGAGGAGGGTCCGAAGGCTCCGCAGGCCCCGGCGCTCGAGTCGTTCAACGGGATCAAGTCAACGTTGGAGTCCATGGGCCAGGCGGCTCAGCGAATCCCCAGCTCGTTCTCGCTGTCACGGCTTTCGCGCAGGCACTGAAGCCGCGCGCCCAGCCGCCAGACACGCCACAGGCGGCCCCACAGATTGCAGCAGCGAGTTCAGTGGACGCCTCGGTCGAGCCAGGCGAACCACGGATGGCGCCGGGCGGAGGTGGAGCCTCGCGCCCAGCGGCGGTGGATGCGGCTGGCGGTGCTGCGACTCCGCAGGCCGCGGGCGCCCCTGGAGGCCCGACTGGGCCAGACCCCGCCCCGACAGCCGCAGCCGCCGCCGCGGGAAGCCGCCTGGAGCCACCTGCGAATAGAGTGGGGGAGCGGGCCCCAGGGGAGCAGAGCCGCTCACCTCACCGTAGTGGAGGCGCCGCCCCCCCCAACGGTAATAACCGGAGTTGCAGAGGAGCGTGCAGACCACTCAAGTTCTGCAGTGTGAATGGGTCCTGTTGGGCCACGATTTTGGACTTCTTGGCTGACTGCAATGCGTCTATTGTATTTGCCCAGGAGCATAAACTCACCTTGGCAGGAATTTTAGAGGCCCGCCAGAAGCTCAGTAAAAAAAAGGCTGGGCCTTTTTTATGGGCACCGCGTCTACTTGTGCCCGCTGGTTTCCCGAGCGGGGGGGGGGGGGGGGTAAGCGTCGCGGCTAGGGCGCATTTAGATATCTGGGTAGACCCCCGCAGCCTTGGCATTATGATTGAGCCCAGGGAGGCTCTTGCATGTATACTGTAGAACGAAGGCCCATAGCCTTGTGAGTCTGTATTCGAACTATTGGGTATCTGGTGCAGGACAGGGCCCGGCGAATATCTGGCTCAACATGACCTTGGGGCAGCGCGCCCTGGGGGCGGGGGCGCCGTTCGTGGCGGGTGGAGACTTCAACGTCGAACCTGACATCTTAGAGAGCGCGTTGGCGCCAGGCAGATTCGGAGGGGTAATCTGCAGACCTGGCGCGCCGACATTAGTTCAAGGAGACCACTCGTCCATGATCGATTTTTGCATTGTGAGCAGAGTGCCGACGTGTGGTGCTCAGCCATGTCGAGTGCATCTCGCAGCCCGCGCGCCTCCGCATCGGCCAGTCCACCTAGACATTGTCGAGGGCACTCAGGGGCTCAAAGTGTTAAACTTATGTATGCGCAGAAAGTTAGGGGCCCTCCAACCTGTGGGGCCAAACCCCGAGCCCCCAGACTAACAGGACCTGTTGGGCCCCCTATCAGGGCCCGTGGAGGAATGCCCAGCTGAAGTAGGATTGCTACGCCCTGTCCTTGCCGAACGAGCTGAAGAGTTTAACAGCTCCAGGACAGAGTGTTTGCAGATTGGGTCAGTCGTGTCTGGGATGAGCTGGGTGACATTTTCCAAGCAGACGGCTCCGACGGGCGCCAGAAAGGGGGGCGCGCCTTATAAGCTCATCAGATTTCACTGGCCAAGCTCCTCATAACTCGCAGCAGTCCGTTCAAATCGGTTTCGATGGCGATTGGCTGGGTTGCTCGAAGGTTGCAGGAGTTCAATAGTTTGATGAAGAAAAGCGTAACCCCTGCAAGTTCACAGTGCTTCACTCGCCTGCTCAGAGATGCAGCGAGAGGACTTCACCTTCCTTTTTGGCGCCACTGGCCTGAAGGTGAGTTTTTCTGGACATGCATTTTGAAGTGCTTCGGCAGGGGGGCCCCGAGGACAAAGCGCCGCCCCTGGACCGCGGTTTTGGAGGAGCTAGTGGCGTGGATTCGGTTTGCGACTTTGCTGGGAAGTTTAGCTTGCAAGAAGGAAAACAGCAAGAACGCTTCCTGGACGACCTGGTGCTCCGAGGCTCTGGAGGGAGGGGCCCGGTGGGCCCGCGCGTGCGACAGGCTGCCCGCCAATTGCAGGGAAGAGATCTTCAATCCAGCTGAAGGGGGAGACACAGGCTCATTCAGTGCCAGGTTTTAAGCGCAACAAGATATCTGGAGCACGGCATGGAGGGCGACTTCTGCGCAGCCGACCAGGCAGTTTTTTGCAGCTCCCGCCAGCTGCGTTCAGGATAATCTCCAGCGGGTTCAAGAAGCATGCGATCGCCACTGGCGGGGCCCACCCCAGGCATTTCAGCCTCGTGTGCCCCCAAGGCGCTCCAGGCCATGTCCAGCCCCCTCTCCCTTCAGGTGGCCCTGGGCAAAAGGGCCGACTCAGCTGAGAATATTTTTTGTCCAGTTGTTTGAGAAGCCTGTTTCGGGGAGGAGACCAATCGGTTTCTTTCGCAGTTACTCCAGGATGGTTTCCAAGGTCCAGTGCAGGAATTGCGTGGTCTGGGAGAGCTCCGTCAGGCACCTCGGGGCTTTCAGCATGGCCCCAGGGAGATCCACCACCGACGGTATTGGAGGCAAGCTGTAAGGGCGGCCCTTGCTGATGAGCGCGAGAGCAGTTTTAAGCAGTGCGCAGTCGTGCGATTTTAAGCAGTGCTACGAGCTCGTGGGCCACGTGCAGCTCTGGGACGAGTGCGGTGTATGTTCTTTCCCACTCCGCAGCCTCCGCTTGGTGGCCGAGAGTATTCACAACGGAGAGAGTTCCCCCCCCCCCCCCCCCCCCCCCCCCCCCAGTTTCACCCGGTGAGGGGCGTTGTCGCGGGGTCCAGCACGGCAGCTTTTGAGATGAAAGGTTACGTTGTTCCAACGGCGGAAGGGATGAAAGAGATTCCAGGTGCCAGTTTTACCATGCACGTAGATGACTTGGAGTTTGACTCGCACCATGTGGCGTCAGTGGAGTGCCTCAACCTGCTAGGCACAGTCGCCAGCAACCTGATCGAGGCGTGCTCCTGCAGGCTAGGTTTGCCGATCGCCCTCAAAAGGGGCTGTTTCACCACGAACTCGCAGCCGGTCATAGAGTTGGCGCCAGAGGCTCCTGGCATGTACGGGTTCACATTGGCTGGGGAGGTGGTCAACTCGGGGGTGGATTTCTCCGTGGGCCACCTCGCGCAGCGCATGATGAAGGGCCCCAAGATGCCCAGGCAGCTCCCAAAAGGCCAGCCAGGCCCAGGCAAGTCAGCGCAACGTAAGGCCCGTTGGGCCGCCGCTCTCCGACGCATGCCAAACGTCAGAGGGATGAAGGGGGGCAAGCTGGTGCCAAAGCCAAGCTCATCTTCATGGGGCAGAAGCCCAGCGTCACCGACGGAAGCGATGTTGTGGCCCTCTCGGCCAAAGACGTTCTCGGACTGAGGGTCGCGGGGGCGACGGCGCTGGGCATCTGGGGCCCCGGGCTCTCCATCGACCTCGCCTGGGCCCCAAACTCTCCTGAGGGCCCCATTGCTCACGCTGCTGACGCGGTTGCTAGGTACTCGCGTGAATGGTGGGAGTCGCGTGATAATGATATTCGGGCTGCAGGCGTCTTCTCGGCGAGGCAGCTCTCGAAGACCTGCCGCGCGTGCTTGCAGAAGCTTGCGG